ATATTGGGGTTCTATTGGGATACTGGAAAAGAGAAATGGAAACTGCTATCGTATATTGGGGTTCTATTGGGATAATGGAAAAGAAAAATCGAAACTGCTATCGTATGTTGGGGGTTCTATTGGGATAATGGAAAAGAACATGGAAACTACTACAGTATATTGGTGTTCTATTGGGATAATGGAAAAGAAAAATCGAAACTGCTATCGTATATTGGGGGATATATTGGGATAATGGAAAAGAAAATGGAAACTACTATAGTATATTAGAGTCATATCTGGATGGCTTTGAATCCTAGGCCCAAGGCTCTCAAGGGGAAACTTCTTGCCGCATACAACATGCTGTCTCTAGCCTTCATGCCCCTAGCCCACAAAGACTTGAGCTGTGTCAAACTCCTTCATCATTCGTCAGCTATAGTAATATTGAAATAATGTAGTAAGAATTTAGTAATACTAGAGCATACCCCAATATACGATAGTAGTTTCCATTCGAGTTCCATTATCCCAATATAACCCCAATATACTATAGTAGTTTCAATTGTCTTTTCCATTATCTCAATATAACCTCAATATACTGTAGCAGTTTCCATTTTCTTTTCCATCATCCCAATACAACCCCCAATATACTACGGAAGTTTCCGTTACCCTAAACCCTAAGCCCTAAACCCTGAAACCTAAATCCTAAACCTCAAATCCTAGACCCTAGTACTACTAGAGTATAGTACTACAGTAGCGATATAGTCCTTCAGATCCCTCCTCCCCAGGGTCGCTTCAGAGGTGGACCGCTACAACCACGCAGTCCGCGGCGGCCGCAGGGCAGCCATCTTGCTGCACTCAACCTGCTAGCCTGAAACGGACAAAAAGATCCGAATCATACAGGGGTTATATTGGGGTTATATAGGGGTTATATTGGGTTTATATAGGGGTTATTGGGGTCGTATTGGTGTTATATCGGGGTTATGTAGGGATGATGGAAAGAAAATGGAAACTACTATAGGGTAGGTCTGACTTGGGATGTTTCGGGGTTTCGGGCCCATTGCTGCGGGCTAATGCAAAAAGAGGGGAGCGTAGCTTTTAGTCGTCCATCTCCAAAGGGCTGTTTGCCCAGTGAGCCACATCATGGTTTTGGAGAATATTGGATTCATGTGTATTTTTGCTTCAGTCCTCGAATAGTACATCCCAGATACTGGGATGCAAACAATGCAGACTTTAGAGGGGCCCTCACCACTGTGAGACCCCCCGGTAATTTGGGTCTCTGGGTGCAGGAGAAGACGGCCACCATGGAGACCCTAAGACCAATCTTCGACGGCGATGAGGCGCTTTCTTGCTCATGCATGACAGAATTATAGCAACATGAGTAGCGGTAAGGGAAGTCTACCATGAATCATACAGGATGCCAATGATAATGGGCTTTGGGCGCAGAAATGCCAGGCAAATCAGCAGGCATTGTGCCAGGGAGCCAATGGATCTGCAGGAGTTGTGCAAGAGCTGCGCTGTGACTTGGAAGTCATGCGCATGATAGCGCTTCAAATAGGGAAGGTGCCCCCGCAGCTTCTGGAAACCTGTAAAATGTCATTGCACCAACATCTGCGAACACGCTGCACCTTAGGTCGTCAACCTTCCAGGGCCGGACTGATCAATGTCTTCATGCAGTACTTCTACACATGATCATGTATCAGATACAGATTGAATGTGACAAGTCATCGGGTCTGTGTGCAATGCGTGGAAGGTCGTCGATTTGCGCTC